CTGCTGCTTTGCCAAACACGTCCTTGGGGATGCGTTGCAGCAATGACAAAGGCAGCATGCTCCTTCAACCACCGACAGTAGCCGTCTTGCCGGGGGATGACATCACCTTTCAGCTTCTTCCTCAGAGTCCCTCGGACATAAACCTGCGAGATCTGCTCCCCACGCAGCTCTGCAACCGCCTCTGCCAGGAACTGCAATCCGCCCACTATCTCCTCCTCCTCCACCTGTGGTCCCCCAACTCCACCAGGCAGCTGCCCAGGGGGGGAGGGACTCTGATGATCCTGCCACCATAACGCTGTCTTCCATTCTTTAGACGCCATTGCCTCTGATGGTGCTGTGGGCTCAACCTGCCCCTGCTCGCCTTCCAGCCAGCAACTCCCCCGACAATTCCTCCACCAAAAAAAAAAAAAAAAAAATAATAATCAGAAGATGAGGCCTCCTCCACCGAACCCCGCATCGCCGCAACACTGCGGCTTCTTGCAGCCTTAAATCTCGCTCTCATTCAGATACTTCTCGCTTAGGACGCCGCTCTGGCGCTGCATGCGCCGCCACATACTCCCCTGCTGTGACACACGAAGTTCCAGCCGCCTCCAGGTCCGGTTTCATGCCTGCGCCGCTTAGTAGACCAAACACGGTCGTAGGATGACCGGAACTTCTTTAGCTCCAGAGTCAGCTTCTGAGAGCTTGGGCTTCCTCCTTGTCTATTAACCTGGTCCCGAGCGGCCACACGGTCCCGGTAGGCAGAATAAACTTCCCCCTTCCTAGGGGCCATTCCCAGTATCCTCTACTGGTGGAAAAGAGAGAGGCCGTACTAGGCCCCTCCAGGGCCTTCTCCCCGCTGGACCCAGGCCCAGGATCCACCATCCTTCCTGGGCTGGGCAAGGGGCACTTTAGCCCCCAGGCCTTCTCGGGCCTTCTGGAGCTCAGCAGACAATGTGCAACACACCCTCTCTCAGGAATGAATTCACCAATAAATGCGGGAGGGACTCAGCTGCCTTGTGATCTGCATTACCAGGGCTGAGCCAGGCGTGTGCTCCCAGCAATCAGAGACTCAACCTTTCAGCCAGCTGAACACCTGGAACTGATGATACTGGTGTATTTAAGGGATGGCCAGACTTGCAGACTCTCGGCCTTGGTGTAGTTTTATGGTCCTGGGCCCTGTATCAGTCCTGCATCCTGTTTCTGTTCCTCATTGACTGACCCTTGGCCTGATCTGAAAGCCGCTGCTGACTTCTCCTGCTCTGATCCCCGGCTCGCTCCTGAACCATGCCCTCTGCCTGACCCTCTGTACCACGCTAGCTTGCATACCTGTTCTGATCCCTGGCTATGTGACCCTTGACCATCCCTCTGCCTGACCCTCTGTACTGACGCTGCTAGCTACCTGGCTGAACCTGGCCTTGACCCCGACCCATCTCCGCTTGCTCCCCCTGTACCTACCTGCCCTATTGAATAGTAGACCTGGCCTGCCTGAAACGACGCTTGCTTGTATGTACTGTTTATCTGTGGGTGGTTGGTTTGGTTTGGAGTTTGGTTGCACTGTATTATGTTTTAGTATTGCACTGCGTTTAAGTGTTGTATTGTTAGTGTTAATAAATTATATTGTTTTATCACATATCTGAAGTCTGCATTTCCCTGCGTCAGTCACACACCTCACTGGTCACACCTGGAGCCCTGACATTACACCAAGGCCAATCCTGACCAGAAGTGGCTGCACAGGGAAGATCCATCTTGTGCTTGTTGATGGAAGGATAATCTGGATGAGGTTGTGTAATTATATCGCTAGTGTTTGAATGACAGAGAGTATGCTTATCAAACTCTGAAGGAGTACCCATGGTATCAACTGCTAGAATGTTATACTGCCATCCGGCTCGTCATGTTCTAGTAGATCAGGGCACAGATTTCTCTATGGTGCAAGCCTTTGATTGAGGTTTTGTGCTGAGTTTGGTTTCATCTGGTAACCCCCCAAATGCAGGGATGAATTTTTTGCCACCATTTAGGTGCAGACCAGGTAGACGTTTCCCTGGTGTGGTTATTAGAGGATGATGTGGTTACTTTCTGAGAGCGTTATTCCACATGTTCACCACAGATACGAAGAGATTTATAAAAACGCAGTGCACTCTTTGTCAGACAGGCTTTGTGTAAGCTCAGCTTTGTTCAACCCCAGACTGCAGACATGGACAGATTTGTTGCAACCCACCTTCAGTCAGCTTACAAAAACCCAGTCCTGCTTCTAATCTATGTTTCCTCAAAGCACTATTCCTGCATTCCCAACAGCTCCTCCTGCCCTGCTATCTACCGCATTCATACCCCTGTTCCCACTCACTGCACCTATCCTGCCTTAACCCTGTAAAAAAAAGCCCTCTGTAGCAACTGCTTTCCCTCTCCAGTTCCATCCTCCAGTTCTTCTCTGTCTCCAGCTGCTCCATTCGTACTTGCATGACCTGCGTTTTTACTTGCAGTGCTCCAGTAGTTAAAACACAGAAAAAAGCGAAAATTCTTTCCAACCAATACCATCCTGCCAGTATCCAAACCGGTGAACCTGCCATTCCGTGGTTCGGCCTGAGGCCTCTACTCAGCCTGAAGCCTCTACTCATGCCTGAATGCCTGTACTCAGCCTGATGCCTGTACTCAGCCTGATGCCTGTACGCAGCCTGATTGCCTCTCTTCTGCCTGATGCCTCTACTCTGCCCTGAAGCCTCTACTCAGCCGGACGCCGGCATTCAGCCTGATGCCTCTACCCAGCATGATGAACTGAACCAGCCTGACGATCCTATTAGGCCAGTTGACTCAATGCCCGCTGTTGATCCAGATGATCCGGTACCTGATCCGGTGCCCGCTATCGTGCCAATGACTCAGAGCCCGCTGTCTCGCACCAGGTGACCTGGTGACCCGGTGCCCACGCCTTGCCAATGACGCGGTGCCCGTGCCCGCTGGCGAGCCAAATGACCTGATGCCCTGGTGACCCAAGGGCCCGCTGTCCATACCTGGTGACCCGATGCCCGCTGTCAAGAGCCAGACAATCCGGTACCAAGATGACCCGGGTGCCCACTGTCGTGCCTGTTGACTCGAGCCCACTGCCTTGCCCAGATGAACCGCGTGCCCGCTGTCTGAGCCAAATGACCTGATGCCTGGTGACCCGATGCCCGCTGTCCAGTCAGACGATCCAATGTCTGACCCAGTGCCTGCGGTCATACCAGTTGACTCGGAGCCCACTGCCTTGCCGAGATGACGCGGTGCCCGCTGTCGAGCCAAATGACCTGATGCCTGGTGACCCAGTTGCCCGCTGTCATACTGGTGACCCTATGCCCGCATGACACACTGTCGAGCCAGACAATCCGGTACCTGATGACCCGGGGCCCACTGTCGTGCCTGTTGACTCAGAGCCCACTGCCTTGCCAGATGACGCGGTGCCCCGCTGTCGAGCCAAATGACCTGATGCCTGGTGACCACCTAATGCCCGCCTGTCCGGCCCAGACGATTCAATGTCTGCCCCAGTTTTATCACCCGCGGTCATGCCAGTTTTGACTCGGAGCCCACTGCCTTGCCAGATGACGCGGTGCCTCCGCTGTCCGAGCCAAATGACTTGATTCCTTGTGACCCGATGGCCCGCTGTCCAGATCAGACGATTCCAATGTCTGACCCAGTGCCCGCGGTCCATACCAGTTCACTCGGAGCCCACTGCCTTGCCAGATGACGCGTGTGCCCGCTGTCGAGCCAAATGACCTGATGCCTGGTGACCCGATTGCCCGCTGTTCATCACCAATGTCCTGTCTGACCCAGTGTCCAGCGGACATGCCAGTTGACTCGGAGCCCACTGTCGTGCCTGGTGACTCGGTGCCCGCCGCTTCGCCTGGGGCCCCGAGACCTTGTCGCTCCGCCAGAGGGTCCGGCGCCCGCCGCTCCGCCTGGAGGGTTCCGGCGCCTGTCGCTGCCCGCCCAGAGGGCCCGAACCTGGTCGCTCCGCCCTGGGGGTCCGGCGCCCGCCGCTCCGCCTGAGGGCCCGTAGACCTGTCGCTTCCGTCCTCCGACATGGGGGTCCGGCGCCCGCCGCTCCGCCTGAGGGCCCCGAGACCTGTCGCTCCGCCTGGGGTCCGGCTGAAAGGTTGAGATCTCTGATTGCTGGGCAGCTACCCGCTGGCCATCCCCTGGTACTGCAGATCAAAAGGCAGGTCAGTCCCACCATTGCTGGCCAGGTCCATTCCTGACAAGTACCCTCCCCCCCCCTCAAGGAGCGGGGCCTCAGGACGCTCCAAAACAATCCTATGCTGGGCAAAATGTTCCACCGCCCGGAAGTCTGGTAACTGCGGGGATATCAAAGACTGGCACACAGGGCAGGACTCCGGGCAGCGGCACACCGGGCTGGACTCCGGGCAGCGGCACACCGGGCTGGACTCCTCCGGGCAGCGGCACACCGGGCTGCGACATTTCCGGGCAGCGGCACACCGGGCTGGACTCCGGGCAGCGGACACACCGGGCTGGACTCAGTCCGGGCAGAGGCACACCGGGCTGGGACTCCGGCAGAGGCACCCCCAGGTCTCACACCGGGCTGGACTCCGGTCAGAGGCACACCGGGCCTGGACTCCGTGGCAGAGGCACAACCGGGCTGGACTCCGGGCAGAGGAGGCACAGGAGAGGGGGGGGAATTGACTCCGGGCAAGGAGGCACATCGGGCTGGACTCCGGGCAGAGGCACATCGGGCTGGACTCCGGGCAGCAGGCACATCGGTGGCAGCGAATCACCGTGCAGAGTGCACATCGGGCAGGACGTCCAGGGCAGAGCACATCGTGTCAGGACTCCGGGCAGAGGCACATCGGGCAGGACTCCGGGCATAGGCACATCGGATTAACCAGGCGAAGCAGCAGCAGCAGTAGCGCCACCAGTGGGCGGAGCAGCAGGCACCGGTGCCACCCCCCGGCGGAGCATCAGCACCGGGCCCCCGGGCGGGGGCGACATGGCACCGGGCCCCCGGGCAGGGTGGGCCGACCCACGTTTGGCACTTTCGGGCCCCCGGGCGGGGGCGAACAGGCACCGGGTCCCCCGGGCGTGGGCGCGGGGCATCGCCGGCATCCTGGGCCCCCGCGGGGCGACTGGCATCGGTCCCCCGGCGGGGCGACAGGCATCTCGGGCCCCCAGGCGGGGCGACAGGCATCGGGCCCTCAGAGCGCGAGCGGCGGGCGCCGTACCCCCAAGGCGGAGCGCACAGGCATCGTGCGCCTCAGGCGGAGCGGCGGGCGCCGACCCCCAGGCGGAGCGACAGGTCTCGGGCCCTCAGGCGGAGCGGGGCGCGGGGCGCCGGGACCCCCAGGCGGAGCGACAAGGTGTCTCGGGCCCTCAGGCGGAGCGGCGGGCGCCGGACCCCCAGGCGGAGCGACAGGTCTCGTCTCGGCCCTCAGGCGGAGCGACAGGCGCCGGACTACGCCAGGCCTGGAGCGGCGGGCGCGCGACCCCAGGCGGAGCCGACAGGTCTCTCGGCCCCCAGGCGAAGCGGCGGGCACCGAGTCACCAGGCACGACAGTGGGCTCCGAGTCAACTGGCAATGACCGCTGGCACTGGGTCAGTACCATGGATGAACAGCGGGGCATCGGGTCACCCAGGCATCAGGTCATTTTTGGAGCTCGACAGCGTGGGCATGCCCGGCGTCATCTGGCAAGGCAGTGCTGAACCCTGGCCTGTGACCCCGACCCATCTCCGCTTGCTCCCCCTGTACCTACCTGCCCTATTGATATTGACCCGGCCTGCCTGACGACGCTTGCTTGTATGAACTGTTATCTGTGGGTGGTTTGGTTTGGGTTTGTTTGCACTGTATTATGTTTTAGTATTGCACTGCGTTTATGTTTGTATTGTTAGTGTTAATAAATTATATTGTTTATCACATATCTGAAGTCCTGCGTTTCCCTGCGTCAGTCACACACCTCTGGTCACACCTGGGAGCCCTGACAAATGCTCCTAACACTGGTGTCATTGGGAAGAATTATCCCTCTTACAGATAGCTAAAAATATCATTGGTATCAGTAGAAATTATTCTGAGAGTCAGAAATTTCTCATTTAACACTCAAGGAAACCCCTTGAAACTTCTGGAGGAACCCTGCTTGAGAAACCCTAGCCCTAGAGAGCTGTCTGAGGAAAGACTATCAAAAAAATGTAGCTGTTACGATACTGCCAGAGCAGACACCCCCTTTGGGTTCCCCAGTGGGGTCTGAAGCCTGCAGGCCCTTATGAACTTACACAGCTACCAAGTATGAATTTATTGCCTTTAAGGATTATTGCCAATCATATGACTCTAGAACTGATTATGCTGCTATTTCAGGTATGATTAACCTATGTGGCACTAGAGCACACTTTTTCACAGGAGTTTATGACGGGAAGTTGCTTTACAAGAGCTGTTTCTGTATGATTTTTCATCTCTTTCAGCAAAGATACCATTAACTGAAGGTCCTCTTAATGGTGCACTGCATGGCGTATCCAGAGAACAGAGCTTGTAACTATGGGGACCATAGGTTAGAGGTGTAGTATACAGTAAACCAAATTTATCCAGCGTGTAGTTTTCTGTTTAGTGCAGATTATATTGCTGATGAGTTTTTGCTAGGGACAAACCATACATGTGTAATTTCTATTTAATGCAGCCAAACCAGATATTTTGTGATCAGGGATTGGGTGACTTGGCATAGTGTTTCCCCACATTTTGGAATCACACCTGTGGCATAGAATCAACCTAGGGACCAAGCCTTGGAAGTCAATGGTTGAGAGCTGTACAATCGGCCCCATCAGAGAAAAGCAAGCACGTATTTACGGAGTGACTAGTGCATTTCCTGTATTCATTGGGTAACTGTGGACCTGTCACTGGGGAGTGAGATGACAGGTATTCCGTGTTTGGTTGGACGCTGGTACAGGCTCTGCACTACTGCTTCCTAAATGTTGCACACCTGGGAAGTGGTGTTCTCTAACTGTGGTAATATCAGAAGTGTTTATTTTAACAGTACAGCAAGTTAGCCACGGGTCAGTAGAGGGTTAATGCGATTCTAAAGGCTCCATTTTTTTTTTTAATAAAAAACATGTCTAAACTGTGTGCAGTGGTTTTGCACAGAGCAGCCTGGATCCTCCTCTTCTTGGGTCACCTCCCTCCTGCCAGGTGCCCCCATAGCAAGCTGCTTGCTATGGGGGCACCCCGCTGCTCCATGTGTCCATTCACATAATGGAGCCACGGCTTGTCCCCGCCCCCCTCTTTCTCCTCATTGGCTGACTGGCTGTGATTGACAGCAGCAGCTCCAGCTTTCTGTCTCAGCCAATGAGGAGGCAGAGACCCCATCACAGCCGAGGCTGTCATTCACATCGCTGGATCGTGATGGGGCTCAAGTAAGTAATTGAGGGAGCTGGGGGAGCTGCTGCACACAGAAGGTTTTTTTACCTTCATACATAGAACGCAATAAGGTAAAAAAACGTCAGCCTTTACAACCACTTTAACTGTGTTCATTGCAGTTTGCTCCTAAGACTGGAGTTTTGCATTAATGCTGATTTTGGTATGAAAGCAAACTCCTGACCAGAACCTAGTGCAATTAGCGAGTGTAATTCTAGTGTCCCCCACTAGGGCGCTTTAGGCCCACCCACACACAATTGCAAAACAGAAAAAACTATTGAAGACCTCTAATTATCATTGCCTCATTTTTTGCTAGCAGCTAATGTTCTAGGAGGTTGAGTGCCTTTTCCTCAGCTCTGCTAAGAAAAAGTCTAGCCATTTTTTTGTTTGCCTTTTTACTCTTTTTTTTTATTATTTGTTCAATTTACTCAGTACAAATTAGATATTTTTTGTTTTGGTGAATTCACTTCAAAAGTGCTGTTTGAGCTAATCTCTACACAGCAAGCCTATCTGGATCGACATATCCTCAACAACAGCTTTTGGTAGGTCTTACTCAGACTGTCGCGCCTAACTGGAAGATTGCATGGGTTAATAGTCCAGAATGTGACCTTCGGCACTGGGCCTATGCATTGTTTGCTTTCCAGACCTTTGTGTACGTGTTTAGTTAGCTGTAGAGCACGATCATTCAGGTCCACAGCCAAGGCACATCCTCTGGTTTGAGGGCCCACCTATGAAGACTCATGTGGCAAGTAGGCCTCTGATATGTGGTGAGGCTAGGCAGGAATGTGAGCTTAAAGCACTAGGCTCTGCATTGTGTTGCTTTTCCACACTACTTTATCACCCTATGTTTGGAGGATTGTTCTGCTGATTATGGAACTTGGGTCTTATAGAGAGGTCTTATAGCTGCAAAAGAAAAAAACACCATTCTACTAAACCAACAGTTCGAAGACTTCCTCCAAGTGGACTGGAAAACTCCTAAAAGTTATTGGGCCTTACCTAAACTGCGTGCCACAGCATTCCCCATTTGAAAAGGGATTCACCAATTGGTGAGCCCATGTCCAATTTTAATGCATGTTAACCAGAAGAGATACCCTTCGTTTGAGCAAAAGTGGTACCATTATCGCACAATGCACCGAACTCTCGGTAAGACACCCACCAATCATGGATACTGTATGTAACTGTCTGACTAGGTAGTGCTTAGTACTATAACTACAATATAAACATTAAATTTGGCTTGTTTGCCTTTTTCTTCCCTCGGATCTGTTTTTAGCCCATTTTGCCATTTTCTGTTATGAGCGTGTTTCTACCACTACAACAAAAGAGACTTGGTTATTTTGTGTGTTCCTCTACATCTAGCTTTGGGTTTTTATTAAAAACCTTTTGTAATAAGGCTTGTTCATACTACCCTAATCGGTAGGTTTTGCTGTTGGCTGCATAAAAAACTGAGATGGCCCCTTAGCATCCTGCAATAATAAAAGCTAATATACCCTTCTAGATAGAGTATTTTTTACAACACTGCAAAGTTTGGTATTTTTTTTTTGGAAAAAACCTCCTTTCTTAAAAAGGGGATTGTAGGCTAGCGAATATCATTTACTCTTCTTGAGCAAGGGATCCCTAAATTTTTTAACCCTCCACTGGGGGAAGGAAATTTAAACTCCCTTATATACCTTAAAAATACCATTCTACTAAGACAATTTTAGCCTCCATAACAAAAACCCTTTTTTCAAAATAATAGCATTTTGAAAAAAGTAAAAAAACCCAAAAATCCTTCTAATGCTTTTTTTTCCATACACCAAATGCATTGGGAACCTACACATTCTATCCAAATCAAAACATGAAGAAAAATATACAAAGTTGTTGTTCCTCTAAAAAAATTGAAAAAAGTGAATAAGACTGTTCAAAAAAAAAACAGTGTTTTTTAAATTCTTTTTTACAAACTCAAAAATTCACTATATAAAAATGAAAAATGTTTGAAGATTTTTTGCTTTCCTTTTAATCACTTAAAGAATATTTTTTGTATAAGCACTGTTTCAGAACTGCTGACATCTGTGTTGCATGGGGTCAACCAACTTCTGGCCCCCGTACAGGGACCAGCCCGGGTGATTTACTACATTCCACATTCTTCTCTATTCTTGTTTGCCTCAAAACTGCTTTTTAATTCACCCCACAATTTTCTATTGGGTTAAGATCCGGGGATTGGCTGGCCACTCCTAACGTCAATCTTGTTGTCTGGAACCAAGATGTTGCACGTTTTCTGGTGTGTTTGGGGGCGTTGTCTTGTTGGAAAACCCCTTTAAAGGGGATTTCCTTTAACATAAAGGGAGCATGACCTCCCCCCCAAATATTCTGATGTTTCAAACTGATCCATAATCCCTGGATGCGAAAAAGGCCCAACCCGTAGTAGAAAACATCCCCATTCATGATCTTTCCAACATGCTTCACTGCTCACAGTGTACTGGGCTTTTAATTCATGTTTGGGGTCGTCTGACAAACTGTTCCCGGGGCCCCTAGACCCAAAAAAAAACAATCTTCTTTCA